CAGCAGGATTTTAATGATGATACCACTAGTGGTTCGTTGAAGTTGGCCTGCCTGCAGGGCTACTTCACTGCAGCTAAGTGTGAAGTTGGATATGCAGATTCCCAGCCAACGGGCAAATATCAAAGTCTGGCCCAGATAGAAGGTCCTAGAGTTTGGATGGGGAAAGACATTCCACCTTTTACTTACATCTGTATATTTTCCAGTGTTGAAAACAGATGCAAAGCGCAACATGTTACGTTTTCTTTATTTCTAAGCAGGCATGTACTTCTGCACCATGGATGATAAACCAGTTATTTGCAAAATACACATAAGTTACTTTAAAACATAATTAGAGAATCAGAGCTATGATACGTATGAAGATAGGTATGAAAATCGTTACTTAAAAGAAGTAATCAACTATAGAGACTGTAATGGGAACAGTTTTAATGTTCTGGTATGAAGATGTGTCTTTGCTAAGGTACATGGAAAAATAGATCTGTTTATTAGTTATTGCACCAAAATATACCTTTTTTTTTTCTCATTTGTATGAAAAAAAAATACTGTGCTGGCATGAACTCTAAAAAAAATATAAACAAACAAGTGTTATCTGTCAGATTAGGATACTGTCCTAAATGTTTCACCTGCACTGGAAATTTAGATATCAAACCTTTAACCAGGTTGGAAGCGCCCTCTGAGCAGTAAAGATCAGGGATCACTGAACAGTGAAAACCACTTCATATTTTATAACAAAGAATTTTCTGAAAGAAAAATTTCACTGATTGTTGATCTCTGCATCCTCTGATATAGGACTGTAAATACTTTCATTACAAAATATGACAAGTGTTTTTCAGAGAAACTTTTTTTAAAGTAAACTTTAATGAGTTTTAAGATATGACAGTTTTCTAAATTTTGAACTCTGTAAGACTAACCTATTAGTAATGTATCACATCTGTGTGTCATCAGAGAATAGTATGACAGAAAGATGCACCTTAAGATAGGTGGACAGATGGATAATTTTTCTTTTTAAAACCTAAGATGCATTTTCATAAACTATTGCTTCAGCAGTAGAGTCATAAGCCAAGGTTTTCAAATGTTTAACAACTTTGGTTATTTCAATTTTTGAATATTCCTAAAGAATGTCTGGTATTTAGGGTGAGTACTTAGCGTTTACTGAAAGCTGTTCTGCTTTAGGGAGTGCAAAGCTGGGGCTCCCTTGCCACCCCCAGTCAATACTCTTAAAATCCTGTCAGCCAATGTTAGTATCATGTTGCTTTCATGACAGATGAAGTTTTTTCAGTCTCCCCTTTGATGGAGGTGCACTTCCTCTAAAGTCCATAGCCAGCCTCCTACCCAGGTGCGAAGGCTGAATGAGCCAGGAGGTCTAGAATGGCAGTGTTAGTTGCCACCAGAAGAGCTGGAGAACAGCACTGAGAAAGGACTTCAGGAAGATCTCCTATTCAGAGTAAGAAGAGTTTGGGTTTTTTTCCCCATCCAAAATTTTCTATATATGAAAATTTCTTTTTTTCAGCTGGCTAGCAATGCAGAGTACTTGCCTGTCATAGTTTTGTCTTCCCTCCCCTTCCCCAACTTGAGTGATAACTATTTCTTTCATAGCTGAAAAACCTGCTAAAGTTAAAGAAAGTGTGTCCCACTGCTCCCGTGTCAGGTGCAGCTCCAGGCTAAAGACAGTCATTGTGCTAAGTGCACAGAGGAGGTTAAGAACAATAAGCAGCTGAAGAAGTTTGCAGCTTGGGGATGCAACAGGAGATCCCTCCAGCTCAGTCGTAAGTCTGCTCTGCCTGTTGGCCAGTCTGTGCTAGATAATAAAAAATTACTCTATCTCTAATGATAGTCTGAGTTGAGAATCCCAGTGCCTCTTCCCATGGTACTGTCGACCTGTTCTACTATATCGGAAATTTTATTAATACTAGAGGGGTTGACAAATGGATTTCAGGTTTATTGAAATGGATATTCCTGTAGGAGTTAAAGGAATAGTGCTATCATCAAGTATTGGCATCCAGCGTGGTCCCAGTTTCAGTCCTGAGAGGCTGTCTTCCTGTTTAACTGTTTTCATCCTGTACAGCAAAATTAATTCACCTTTTCCCAAAGGTTTGCTGTTCAATAACAAGGCTCAAAAGAGCTCGAGGATTTTTAAATTACTCAGGAATCTGTACTATCATTGTGCAGCATGCCAGGCATAATCAGCTCAGCGTTCCTGCCTTAAAACCAAGATTCTGGACTGGGAAGGGGAAAGGAGATTTTGCAGTAATAGCAGTGACCAACGTTTAAACATTAAGACTCATAGCCAAAAGAGATCTATGACTCCAGTTTATTTCATTACAGTAATAGTGAAGGTTTGTCACTAATTGAGCTCACCTCGTGCACTATGTTGGGAAGAGAATTTCTGAGTAAACTGATTCAGTGACTGTCCCTTACCGTGAATGTATTCTTGTAGAGCCTTTCGTGCATCCTAGCAATAATAGCTACATAGGCATTTTGGTTAGGGTAAAAAATAAGCTGCAGAAAGCCACCAGTCAAGAGACTATGTGGGTAAATGGCTTTTGCAAGCGTACTTACAGGGATTGATAGGACCTAAAGCCTTATGCGTACCGTGTTGCTACAGTGTCTTCATGAGCAATGAATCTTCTCGGCCATTTTATTGAAGCTTTGATTTGTAATAGAGTGTAACAAGTAACGAAGTAACTTTGAAGGAAGGCTTCCTGTTTAATGACTTACCAAACTGAGTCTGAGATTGATTTTTAGATGACAAGGTTCAGTTTAGGACACAAAATCAGAGTTACCCACAGGCCGGGATTGAAAAGACAGAAAGTACCCTGCTGGAGGTAAACAAGGCTTCTCGTGCTTTTCTGCGGTAAATTTTTTGAAGGTGTACTTCTGCTGTTCTGCCTACAGTGAAGTTGTTGATACACGGCTGGGTAAAAAGAGGTGAAAGAATACTCTT